CCGAAGTGGTCCCTATTTATCTACTTGCCATTTCTTGCTTTCGAACTGCTAGGTTGGCAGGAGCTGGAACTAGAGACGGGAGCTCACTCCATCATGCGGCACCCGGGTCTCGAACTGCTGAACTACCGACCTTCCACAGCCTGCAGTTCAGTTTCTTAACCACTTGAGCCACCGCAGCTCCCTCTTCTAATTGTAAAGGTAAAGGTAAAGGTTCCCTTGCTCGAAAGCCAGTCGAATCCGACTCTAGGGTTGCGGTGCTCATCTCCGTTTCCAAGCCAAAGAGCCAGCGCTGTCCAAAGACGTTTCCGTGGTCATGTGGCCGGCATGACTAAACACCAAGGCGCACGGAACGCTGTTACCTTCCCAACGAAGTGGTACCTATTTATCTACTTGCAGTTTCTTGCTTTCAAACTGCTAGATGGGAGCTCACTCCATCATGTGGCACCCGGGTCTCGAACTGCTGAACTACTGACCTTCCACAGCCTGCAGCTCAGCGTCTTAACCACTTGAGCCACCGCAGCTCAATTGTATCCCTGCACAAATATAGGTCAGTCCAGCTTGGAATGCAGAAGGTCCCAGGTTCAGTCCCTGGCATCTCCAATTAAGAAAGGGTGAGGTGGGAGGTGATGTGCAAGACCTCTTCCCAAGACCTTAGGGAGCTAATGCCCGTCTGCGTAGGCAATACTTGTGGACCACTCTGATGGTCTCACTGTGTATAAGGCAGCTTCTTGCGTTCTCTTCAGTGGAACAGTTTTACCTTCTTCAGGCCAGCTGAAGCCTTAACAAAAAAATTGTCAAATTATTTTCAAGTATGGCTGGGCCCAGATTTGACCGGTGCTTGAGCTTGAACATCTGCTCGGATTCGGGAAGGAGAGATGCAGCTGCATCTCAAATTACTAAGGTTTTTTGGTGATTTTTTTTTTTGCTGTACACGTGCTTCATAAACAAAGACTGACCTAATTGTAAATGGTTGCCTGCTTCTATTAAGAGGCTGTTGGTCATAAAACCCTTCATATCCATAACGAAGTTCGAATAAGAATACGAGGTCAACTTTTATCACTGGTTTCACAGTGACTAGAACACCTGGGGAGGGGGAAATCACTCCCCCCATCTTTTTCCAAGGAAATTTTGGGGAGCGGTGAAAAAAAAATCTAATACTTTTTTCTTTTGGAACGAGCGAAAATGTTTTCCAAGACAAGGTTTTACTCCGGCAAAATGTGTGGCATGCAAAGCAGTCTACAATATTAGACAATGACAAGCGGAGACCCGTGAGACTCTGGGGGGATCCCATTCCCCCCTCCCCCTGTGCTTGCTCACCTGCCATGTTGGCCACGGTTGCAGTGGCGGCAGCCATCGCTGCGGCTCCTCCCCCCTGGCCACTCATTTGCTCGCTTTGGCTCCGCCCAACTGATATCAAGGCCAAGCAGCTTCCACACACACCCCCTCACTTGCTTGGTGCAGTTTGAGTGGTAGCGGCAGCGTCTTGTCCTTTCTTATGTCTTCTCCTCGTCTACCTGACCCCTCTCCTCTTCCTCCCCTGCCCCCCAACTCATTTGGTAAAGGGTGGGTGGGGATGGATCCCACTCCTTTCCCTTGGCCATCCTCAAAAAGCTGGTTGTTTTCTCCACCATAGTAACGCTTTTACTTTTTTCCCCAATTTATTTTATTTATTATTATTAATTTTTTTTGCTTTGGGAGTTTTGTTCAAACCTTGGGGGGCTGGTGAGGCTTGTACAGACATCTCTCTAGTACGTACCTGGCCCCTGAGGATGGATTTAATAATCTGTCTGCTGAAATCCGGGTTCAGAATGAGATATATATTGCCAGTGTACACTGTAGACACGCACGTGCTTGCAGCATAGGCCAGTTTGTTTATTTATTTATTCATTCATTCAATTTATACCCCGTCGTCCCCGCCAAGGCAGGCTCAGGGCAGCTTACATAAAAGTAAATACATAAATAACCAGGGGTCATTTTGTAGAAAAAGAGGTGCAGGAGCTTATTAGCATAACTCATTAGCATAACAGTGTACAAAAGTCCTGAGAATCCAAAATTACAAACCAGCCAGTTAATCACCAACAGAGTTTTCAACATACATCAACAGTTATAATATAATAACATAATAATTTAATATTAAATCCATTCCCATATATAAAAAATGACTTTTGAACTATAAATCCCAATGAAAACAGTTCAGTAACAAAGTGCTAGCAGTGTTGGTTTAATTTCATGGCGATGGCGGTACCATGTGAGTGCATTCAATGGACTCACTAGATGTTCAGCTCATTGATCTTTCCCAGATACAATTGGCAGGCACAGACCGTAGAGGGCAGGGCTCTGTAAATTTCAGTTGTTGATGGTAATGTTGGCGGCTCCTTAGTTGAAGGCCTGGTGGAAGAGCTCCGTCTTACAGGCCCTGCGGAACTGTAAGAGTTTAGAGTGTTGGGCTAGGATCCTGAAGGCTCGTATTCAAATCCCCACTCTGATTAGAAACTTGCTGATGGACCTTGGGCCCAGTCACACTATTTCAGCCTAACCTTCCTCACAGGGTCATTGTGAAGATAAAATGAGGGAAGGAAAATCACATTTAGTGCTCCTAGCTTAGAGGACAAACAGCGGAAAATAGACTGGATATGTAAATATACAATATATATTCAAGGATGTGTTCATTGTGTAAATACAACAAATTTTATTGACAATATTGTATGATAAGTACAATAATACACTATTTTACAGTTGTGCTAGTCCTGTTGTGCCTGTATGAAATGATTTCTGTCCAAATAATACCTTGCCTTTTGTTTACTACACAGTTAATGTTTTGCATTTCCAACTTTTCCCCTATCTCCCTAATGGCAAAACCTAAGATACATGTGCGAAAGTACCATAGAGTGTAGTAGTTTGCAGCTGTCTCTCTTGTTGAAGTATTGGTTATATCTGCAGTTTTGCTTGTAGGAAATTAAGGCATTTATCCTTCTAAATTCCATAAATATGCCAAACACTGCAATTTTATATGCCAGCTATGCTATTTGTGATACGTTTTATGTTGTAAAGTTTTGCAAATATTTCCGTTTCTCTCCATTTCGGTTTTTTAATATAAAAAGTTGTTTTCACATGGCTTTCCAGAAATTTTGTATCTGTATTCATGATTAGGAATAAATTCATGTTTTGGGTTTTTTTGTTTTGGCTTCCTCTATATTTAGTCTTATGTCAGTAACATCAGGGCCCCACAATATTTATCCGCACCCGTCTTTAAGTTCTTTGACCTGTTACATATTATAATGGTTATATATTATAATTATATGATTATGTGACCTTAACGTCTGTCTCATAGTTTGGGATGAGATGACGACTCAAGGAATTTACGGGATTTTATAAAAAAAGAATATTGCCCATAGGAGCCACTGTAATAATGGTCAATGAACTACCCTCCTATTGAGGTAGCCATGTTAGTCTCTGTAGCAGTGGAAAAGAGCAAGAGTCCAGCAGCACCTTTAAAGACTAATAAAGTTTGTGGTGGGTTAGGAGCTTTTGCGAGTCACTACTCACTTCTTCAGATCCTCAGGTATCTGAAGAAGTGAGCAGTGACTCACAAAAGTTCATATGCTGCCACAATTTTTTTTAAGGTGCTGCTGGACTCTTGCTCTTTTTTACTACTCTCCTATTGGCTGGCTTGCACTAAAGCAAGATAATTTTTCAGTTAAATACATGACTGTGAGGAATTTCAGACAGACGATATAATCCGGAAGAGGAACGGTTCCCAAACGGTTTCTGGTCTGTCATTTCAGACAGAACCGTTTTAGAACCGGTTCCCTACCGGAATATATTTGTAGTTTCAGACACAAACGCTTCTGTCCCGTTCAGGAAACGGGGCTGAAGCATTTTACCTGTCAACCGCTTCCAAGTAGTCTTCAGTTTCCTCTCCCAGTTCCGATGCGCTTTCCCCTGCTGTTTTTCGCCCGCCCGGGCGATCTCCGGCTTTTTTTTTTTTAATGTTCGCTTTATAGCGTCATAGCGCTATAACGCTATAATGGAACGGCTTTTTAAAAAATGTTCGCTTTATAGCGTCATGGCGCTATAACGCTATAATGGAACGGCAGTATATCAACGGCATTGGAATGCCTGGAGTGTTTTGTTATAGGGCTATAGCGCTATAAAGCGAACATTAAAAAACCTGGAGATCACCCGCGCGGGCGAAAACGGCAGGGAAAAAGCGGTGCAGTCTGAAATGGCAAACCGCTTCAGATCCAGCTCTTTACCGGAAGGGGAAAGCCATGTGTGAAATGGCAGCCCTATACCGGTTCATGACGGATCAAAAACGGCTTCAAAACGGGTTAAAAGGGGTAATGTGAAATTCCTCTGTGCCTTGGAACAGATGGTTGTGCATCTGTGCAGCAGGAGACGTACCCAGGCCTTGGTTAGAGTTGTAAGACTTGTGTAGCACCAGTGACTCTGCTGTCAAATTCAGCATATATGTTAGTGAAAAGTCTCTCAGACAATCCAGCATGGTCACATTAACTTCAGAAGAAAAAACTTCCTGCAGGGGTTAGTAGTTAAAGTGAAATTGGACCATAGAATCAAGAAGGTCTTATCTCTCCAGCACACTCGGGAGTGTATTTAAAACCGGAATAATAGGAGCTCTGCTGGAGTGTGTGACACAGGTTAGAAAAAGCTATGAATAAAACTTTAGAGGTTACCAAAGTGGTTGATGAGCACCATCAAGGAAGCTATACAAGGCAGAAAGGGCTTCCTTCTTTTTTAAAAAAGTGGAAGTGTTAAGAACGAAAAGGAGGGCAAGCCCTAGCAAAAAATGTGCTCGCTGGTATCACTCTTTAAATCAAAGTTAGTGTCTTGCACCCCGGAGAACAGCCAAGGTCTGTTGCCATCTGGCCCAGGAGAGATGGAGCCGTCGCCTCGCAGCAGTTTACATCCAGTTCTGTTTGGCAGCATATTGCCTGGAGGTGGGACTATTTCCCTCTGATCTCATGCAGATTGTATTTTGTTCTTGTGTTATTGGAATCAGTTGCAACCTGCCAGGGAGATCATGGGGCTTCCCGGAAGGAAGGTGTGATACGTTCCTGGCTGATAGAAGTTTGTTGTGGATTTGGCCGACTTGACCAGCAGCTTTGACAAAAGAATGTTCTTTTATTGGCTGTGTGTGCCCCCCCCAATGCATGAGTGTAGGAGTCTGAGTCCTATGAATTTACATGGGTGTGAGCAAGAGAGAACGAAGACCGCCATTTTGTATTGCGCTTAGACTATAGCTTAGACTATAGCTGGTAGTAATGGAATTGGGATCCAGCGCTCCCTCCAGGCTGTGGAGTCCTGTGAGCAAAATTCTGCTTTGTGAGCTACCGGCATTAACGTGAGCAAGCGATTTGGCTGCTTTTTTTGGCTCTAAATTAGTTTTCTCTGGAGCCCTCCTTCCTGAGGTAAGACAGAACTGTGCGAGCCGGAGGCTAAAAAAACCATGAGCTAGCTCACACTAACTCAGCTTAGAGGGAACGCTGCAGTGCTGGAGTTTTCTGCTGTAGGTGTTCTCTAGGAATCTAATGCAGAACTAGTAGCTATGCTGCCTGCTTACAGGTGTGAACTTGCCTCCACTGTGCTGTGGTTTGTATATTTATAAATACAGCAAATATTTCAAGTCTCCAGAGCTTACTCATCCAAAGGAAACCCAGCCCTGCCTGCAGCATTCCCCTGGGGCGCTGTTTCTGAAACTTCTTGAAGTGGAAGTTTGGAAAGTAACTTTGGAAAGTAATTGCATCTCCTCCCCTCCCGTTCCAAACATGCAGGAATCTCAGGTCGGTTAACGCTGAACCAGTGTACATTCTGTGTGTGTCTGTGTGCGTGTCCATGTAGTTTACATTTATTATATATGTATATATATAATAATACTATATATATATATATAATACTATATATATATAGATTTACTGAGCAACAGATTGTGTTCCATGGCCATTTCACACATTATGCAAAGGTGAGCCCCATGTTTGCCATTCAAGCTTCCGGAGGCTTCTTTCCAAACTCAGCCTGTTCTTTCTCCCCCTGCAACCCACCACTGCCCTAGACATACCCACTTCCTGGAATTGGGTTTCATATAACAGTGTATCTGTCGGCAACCACTCCCTTAGGGACTGGTTTTTGTAAGGAATGTTTGCTAAGATTGTAGTTACCTTCAGGGCTCTTTTTGTAGAAAAAGCCCAGCAGGAACTCATTCGCATAATAGGCCACACCCAACAGCAGGAACTCATTAGCATATTAGGCCACACCCCTGACCAAACTCATTAGCACATTAGGCCGCACCCCCATGTTACCAGAAGTGTGGTCATCCAGCCACACCCACCTTTTGCT